TTTGATACTGACCTCACTAAGTTGTATCATAGATACAACTATCTATGGACTACCAGCTAACAACAAATACTGAAGGGAAAATAATCATATATATAATTATCTGTGGCCAGAGGAGAAGTAAGTAGAAATGAACAAAATTCAAAGAGTGCTGCATGTCTGGGTGTCTTTGTTCCTTTCCCTTTGAAGTCAGCATGTGACATGTGCATGAAAGAAGTGATCTTAAAAGACACATTTTTAGAAATCAAATGAAGCAAATTCCCCACTGTTAATGAAAATATTATGAATCTGAACAGCCTTAATGGCTCAAGGCTTTCTTTATTTAGTCATGTGGAAAATAATCATGCTCCTTTCCAGCTTTTTATGACTTATAGGAGATAAAAACCTTTTTGTCCTTTAACCTCTTTGGCTTTGAAAATTCCATTATACATGAGTTTACTTATGTAGCCCATGAGCAGATAATCAATTTTGTAATTTTAGTATTAATAGATGATATTAATTTACATAAATGTTTTATTTTTGTATTTTACAGATTCAGACTTTCAAGTTCTTTATGTTCTTATTAAGAGATTACTGTGTTAATGTATCTTCGTATTCCACTAGCCCATGCAATGTAGCCCAGCAGCTTAATGAATTCCTCAGAGATGTTAAGTTCAACATGAAACTTCAACCCCAAACACTGACACCTCTGCTAGTCACAATATAAGCGGTGCTTCATTACGCAAGTTCAGTCTATGAAGACATACCATAACCTTCTTTTTGAGACCTGACCTGACAGAGCACAAGTTTTAAAAATTCTTTAAAATCAACTCAAATCCTTCATGGATAACCCAGGAAAACAACAAATACATGAACAAATAAACCAAGTAAAAAAAAAATCATAACAAAACACAAATTCAGAGGTTTGTGCTTCAAAAGAGAAAGAGGTTTTTTTAAAAAATAAAAATTTTTGACATGGTTCTCATGCATAAGAATCAGAGATTTTTTTTAAAGAAAAGTGATCACTGTTTCACAAGTGTATTAATTTAATACTGCTGGTTGATATTTTCCATCTTTTGTATCTGATTTCTCAGCTTAATTTTGATCAATGCTTCTTTAGTATTTATGAATAACTTTTAAATCTTCCTCATTTTTATCAAGTGTTAAATATTTTTCATGTTTGCAATTAAAAAAAAAAGATAAAGGATCTCTCTTAATTACTTGCTGGAATATGGAATGCATGAGCAGTGCAGACAGGGAAGTACTGATTGATATGATGTAAGATCCCATTGATAGGACATAGTAGAGTTGTGGGATGAAACTAAGGAAAGCAGAATTATAGCAAAATTTGTGGAATAATCTGCATAATATTGGAGGTATCTTCTGTAAGTTCCTTCAAACTGGACAAAATGCCCTCTCTTTACACTGCTGTCACTTTACTGCATAAAGCATCTGTTAGTTGGTCTTTTCAAACTGTAATTAATGATGATGACAATGTTGATGTTGATGATGATTGATGATGATGATGGCACAGAGCTGGGAAATTTCTTAATCATTCTTGAGTGCCAGCGCTGGCACTATGACAGTTTCTTCCTAACTTCAGTGCTACTAAACTCCAGTTCTAGGGAATTGAAATTCAACATATATCCAGCCACTGTAAAAGCCACTCCTATATAATTTATTCTGATCTCATGTGTTGATTTAAAACTTTTATTTTTTAAAGTCCATGTTCTAAGTATTTTTAATTGCCTGTAGATAGACTGACATTGGCTTTAATCATTGCTTTACACTTGGAAGAAGGTTGTTTTAGCTTAATCCCTTGCATACTTGGCAATATTAAAAAGTTAAATACATAATTGTGAGTCCGAGTCATTTCATAGAGGCATAGAAAAGAGAAAATTAGTAAGAACTGCCAAGCTTTCATTCATCAGTTTTTTTCCTATCAGCTAAATGATCATGACTGATAAAGAAAAAAGATTTAAAGAACATGAAAGAAATTCTCAAAAGATTTGCCAAAAAGATGGATAGTATAAAAATACCTCCAAACATATATCTGTCAATACGTTTAACACTCTGTGTATGAATTAGAATCCCTATGGCCTTTTAATAACCTAGCTTTTTTCTGCATGAAAAAAAAAAAACACATTCAATTTCAAATTTGTTGACATCTTAGGAGAGTCAAGTCATGTAACTTTCTGAAAGAAGCCTTAAAACTTGGTTAGCTTCAGAAACTGCAAGTAAAAAACACTGCTAAATTGTGCTCTATGCTGTTGTAAATAATATTTTAAAACATTAAAAGCATCTCTAATTACATGTCAGAACTCCAAATATCTTTGTTGATCTACTTGCCACCTGGTTTAATTTTCTTGGGATTGAAAAATTCAGGTGAAAACCGGATTAAGATAGACTGGGGGAAAGTATGGTCTTTAGGGATTTGAACAGCTGTGTAGTGAAGAAATAGGAAATTTTTTCACTCATCATAAGGTCTTTCACCCTTGGAAATTTTATGACAGGTGGTTACATCCTCTTAGATACAAGATTGTACGTGAATGACGTAACAATAGTTTTCAGGTCTAAAAAGTCTTGACTTCCAAGTAGTCCGACTCTCTTTATAAATGCTTATGAACAAAAGCTCACGAGAGTCTTAGAAATCAGGTAAGTGTCCACTTAACCAGGGTGAGTTGTTTGTCTCATGCATACAAGGAAGCATTAATTAAAAATAAAAAATCAATTTATAAACCAGAACAATATTTGAGGTATAGGGTTCAAATATCTCTACAACAGAAAGCTGTCAATTCAAAAACATTGGAAAGAAAAGCTGCTTTTCTCTCTGTCTGTACTGTACCTAGAGCACATAAGTGTTAGTAGTCAGCCTTTTCATAAATATTACAAAAAGTAAATGAGAACAACCATAGTGAAAACGTCATCCATGTAGATGATGTCAACAACAGATATCTATTGTTAAAATAAAGCTACCTGTGAAGTTGAAACAAAAACTGGAAATCTGATCGGTGAAGCCTTTGTTTTATCCAATTGATCAGCATTTTTTGTTGTGTGTTTGGTTTTCCACCTAAAGCTCCATAGCTACCCAGAAAATTCTCAGCTAAAAATGATGGAGTGTTTAAAAGAGGAATGTGGAGAACTCAGTTTAATGATGTTAACTGTCTCCATAATAGAAAGTTGAGGGAGTTCTTCTCGTGTTCTATTGACACTTAAATTGAGAAGGATATTTCATTAGACATAATTTGAATATAGCTGTGAATGGAAAAATTCCCATGGAAAAGAAAGTTCTAATATTGCAGAAAAACCCTTGGAGGAAGAGAATAAAATCCAAACAGAAACAACCTTGGTGAAAAAAATCCTAGTTAATTTTTAAAAGGCTAGAAAAGAGCATGCACTTTTACTGAAATAGCTGGAGAGTGTAGTTTAGTGACCCATATGTAGTAAAAAAAAACCCACAAAAGAAACCACAGTACAAATTTAAAACTCAGTGATCATAAAGGCTATAGGATAGTCTGTGGTACAAAAGTGACGCAACACAAGGTAAATGTCACTGTTTAACCCCAGCTGGTAACTAAGCACCAGAACTGCTGGCTCACTCATCACCTCGCTGGGATGGAGGAGAGAACTGGAAAAGTAAAAGCAGGAAAACTCATGGGTGGAGATAAAGTCTGTTTAATATGTAAACCAAAAGCTTTGTAAGCAAAGCAAGACAAGGAATTCCTTCACCACTTCCAATAGTCAGGTGTGTGTTCAGCCATTCTCAGCAAAGCAGGGCCCCATCACATGCAATGGTGATTTGGGAAGACAAACACCATCATTCTGAGCATTTCCCCCCTCCCTCTTCTTTCCCCAGCTTTATATGCTGAGATGACACAAGGCATGGAATTTCCCTTGGGTTCAGTCTGGCTATGTCCCTTCCCAGACTTCTCACTGCTGTGAGAAGAAAAGGGCTTGACACTGAAAATGCTGCTCAGCAGTAACTAAAATATTGCTGTGTTATCAACCCTGTTTTCAACACAAATCCAAACTATAGCCCGTACCAGTTGCTATGAAGAAAATTAACTCTATTCCAGACAAACGAACAGAATTGCCATTAAAATATCAAGTGGTCAGAGGAAGAGGGAAAAAGAGTCTAAAAGAAGAGAACTCATGTTTCCAATACTTGAAAAAAGAACTTCTTCAAAGACAATAGTATTCACCTCTAACAGTAATAGATAAGAGGTATATGTAATGAAATACATTTATCTGAAAAAAGACTATTGCACAAATGATAGAGATATTGATGTGGCAGTAAAACAGAATATGTCACATTCTTATAAATACTGGAACATGTCAGAAAGAATACCTGCAATTCCCTGGAAAATTTAAGGCTGAAGGGCAATGTTTTCTTCCAGGAGAACATTCCTCCTCCAGGTGGAAAAAGACTTTTGAGGAACTTGAACACTCTTTCACTGCTGACACTAATGATATTGCTACGGAGCTTCACTAACATCTTTGTCAATAGAGGAACAACCTTGGGGTTTTGTGTTATTCAGCTTTATAATTCTAAAACAGGACCAAGTAATAATATGTAAGTTCCCATGATTCTATATTATATGAATCAGATAGACTAGTCACTTATAATGTAACACAGTTCTAGCAGTGAAAAACTACATTCATTTCTTAAAAAAAAAAAAAAAAAAAAGGAAGCTATAAAACAGTCACTGATAAGAGTTGCTTCACAAGTATTTAGTAATATAGTGTGTGACCTTAAATATGCTGTTGAGGAAGACTTCAGGGGAAGGGGGAGGCAAGGTGTAAGTAACACTGTTTAGTATACTAAATGCTCCTGCAGCTATTTTTCTGGAGGGTAATTTTTTCAGTAGGGCTTGCTATGAAAAGAAGCAGTTTACTAACAAATGCTAGATGTAGCTTCTGAGAGAGAAATTTTCTGTACATGATTATAACACCACAAAGGGACCTTTAACTAACAGACCAACAGAAGCTAGGAAGGAGCAGTTCACTGTGAAGTGTCTGAGTCAGAGAGCATCAGTAGGAGGAGGTGAAGAATGACCATTATGTACAGCCAGAGTGGATTGGCTCTATAGGTAAGTACAAGTAACTGAAAACTGCCAGTCTAGCTAATGAGTTGGTATCTTAAGTTTATTTTATACAGACAATATTTTTGGTAATGCAAATTTGGGGTTTATTTTGCTTTCTATTTTCATTTCTGTATAGTGTTTATTTTTGGTTTCATTACTACCTTGTTAACCTCTCCAAGAAAAGTGTTTCAGTGGTTTATGTGGGAAAATAAAATTAGAGCAAAGACCAATAAATTCATTTTACCATGATATAAACATAAAGGTTAAAATAAAATAAAAGCTCTTTCAAACAGCTCTTCCAAGTCCTCTAATTTATTGTGTGCAACCTGTGCTGCCACACAAAGTGCCACTTTCATACAAAGAAAATTGTGGGAAATATTAAAGTAAGTAATGCTGAAAAAAAACCCACCCAATTTTGTGACACTTGATCCTTGCAAATGTGTGAATCAAACCATTACTGATCAACTGAGAATCCCTTCTGTTTTACCATTAATAAGGGAGAATATAAAATCTGCAGCATTAGAAAACATTGTTTCTTTCTTCCATCCATATTGATTTCTCTTAGAAATAGAGGAGAGAGAAAAATAAGACAAAACAGTGACATCATGGGGACTTCTCAACTGGTGTGGGATCTGTGAAAGCTTCCCCATATTAGAACCTGCCATGTTTCCCTTCACTTGGTTTACCTAGCTGAAAAACATTATGACTTGAGGGAAATTTGCATATATAGCCTGAATAATTTGAATTATTTATGGATCTAGGCAACAAGGTGCCTGAACACAAAGTGCCTGAAACACAAAATCTAGCAGTAGCTAAATGAAATATGTTAGAAATTGGAGGGGATCTACATTTGCATTGTAATGTCACAAATATGTCTACAGAGTGTATTGTGAATAGATGTATTAATCCAAAGTTAAATGAAGTACACTAATCTACTTTTTTAAGGAAAAAAAATTCTTTTCAACAAATGCTTTTTGTTTTGTTTCCTACAAGTATCTGAATCTTATGCAAAATTCTAGGTTGGATTTAAGTATCCAGAATTCAAAAAACATTTTTTGGACAAAATCTGAAACATTCCTATTGACAGTGTCAAAATTATTTTTCTTAATAGCTTTAGATTAAATAGTGTATTTTGTTTTACTAAGTATTAAACCATTTAGACTAAAAAATGTCTGAATTTTAGAAAATTTAACCGTACAGCATTCTTCAGACTAAAGTGGACAGTATTATTCTACAAGGAATTAAAAGATATCTCCTGATTAATCGTCTTTATGGATGTCAACGTCCTTAAGGATGATTTTAACATCCAAAATATCAGCTGGAAATATTATTCTTTATTTTACTCTGCTCTTGTGTGCAGCTTTTATAAAACTGTCTTTATCTTAAGCTATGAGTTTCCTCACTTTTACTTCTGATACTCTCTTCCATTCAACCGGGGGAGATTGAACAAGATGCCATTTTGGGGCTAGCTGCCTACCAGAGTTGATCCACCACACCTATTAGGAATCCCTTCCTACTAGTTCAACTAAATTTAAATTATTAAACATAGAACTATAGGCACTTTGGCAATACATAATCTAAAAAATATTTAGTCCACTGCAAGTGTTGTCTATATTATCTAGAATGATTCTGCACCTGAGAATGTCCATTTTAGTCTGTTAGTTTACGCAAAGCACTTCACTTCTAAATAGTTGAAGGTGGATAACACAGATAGATCTCATATGAGAAATTCATATGTCACAATTAAAAATATTACAAGACAGATGATAACATTTTTCATAAATACTCAGACATCAAGGAGACACACAGTAAGTATTTTCAAGAAAATGGAAAACTATTATTTGTCAGTAGTTGTATTTCTCTTGTCAAAAGGGAATAATCTTCAGTTTAGAAATATCCAGTATGATCAAACATGTGGAGAGTAGCCTGAGGCTTTAATGGATTTCTGAGAATGTCTTTCTTACAGAGTTCAATTAGAAAAAATACCTGTAAAAGAAATCTACACAAGTATGCATTTACTGGAAGGACAAAAAGGATTGGGGCTTATAATCTGTGTATTAACTAAATGTGATGGCAAGTTTTTTTTGTCATAGTGACTATAGTAGCACTAGTGAATTATTATTATTCCTTCTACTGCTCTTATAAATTTTTTTTCTATATTACAAACAAGATGTTTTTAAATTTTCAGAAAAAATACAGATAAGGAACTTTATACATTTACCTGGAGATGTCCTCACCAGAGCAGGGACAAAATTATTACTTGCCCATGGCACACTCACTTATGAGGGCCAGGTATGTGAAACATAACATATGGTCAATTTGGGCTTATAAACTTTTCAGTATTTATTTCAACCTGTCAAATCATATTCATGTCAAATACTAGCTGTCCTGAATCCATTTGAGATGGCACTTGCAAAACAGAAATAAATAAATTGTGAAGGATTTCATTTTGCTTAAATCAGATAGTCTGATGAAATGTATGAAATTAAGGAGCAATTAAAAAAAAAAAAAAATCTGGTTCTCTTCCTGAAACTATTTTAAACTGCATAGAAGTCCTTTCTTTAGAGCTCAAGGAACAAACAAAAGAGTTGTTTCTCCGAGCAAAGCAAATATCTTCAGCTGTGCAAAGGAGCTTCCCTCTTTTGCTGAACCTCCAATCTTAGGGATTTGGGTAGATGGGAGATTAAGAGAACTTTAATGCAAATACTAGGGCATGCAGATATGCACAGCTTAGCTGATTTTGATGTGCCTGTGGTGTTCACATGTCCATATGCAGCTGGGTGACTAATTAGCCAATTATATGCACAAGAACTCTGCCAAAACTGTGGCCATTAACATGGTTAGTCTGCCATATGTTATTAGTTTTAGAAAACATGTTATGACCAAAACCCACAGTCACCAAAGGAAAGAAATGGATTCATTGACTTCTAAACCTCCATTGTTCTCAGCACAGCTGTGACAACTTATCCTGGTGGCCAAATTAGTTCATATGCAAGAGTAAAACTCAGCTCAAATACTGAATCCTCATATTAATGTCATCTTCACAAATGAAGTGTTATGTTACTGTTTCCTTATTGCACAACAACTGACAAATTTTCAGCTTTCCTTATCCTGAACCATTTGGAAACATCACTGTAGAATAGGTAACTTTCTTTATGTTGCTGGTCTAAATCAGTCCAGATGGTGTCGACTAGTTTGTTTATTAGTTTGTAAGAAATAAATGGATGCCTCAGCTGTTGATCCCAACTACTAGCTAGCCAGTGCTCACATGAACAGTGCACAAGAAAACTAAAAAGCATAAGTAGGACCTCATTGGAAGTCCTGGCACAGAGAACAAAGGCTGCAGGTGAAAGGAACATATCTGGAGTAATAAGACACAGTCAGCTTACCCCTTCCTGTGCTCCCTGTTAAATGAAATTTGTTCCTAACTATTGCAACAACATTCCAGGACTGTGAGAGCACAGTAACCACAGCCCATACATCTCTATCTGGATTTGGGGAGCAGTGGCACATTTTGGCAGAGTGTTCCTGTTCCAACCCCTATCACAAGTAATTTCCTTCCATAAAGCCATCAAAATGAGAGCAGAGACTACTTGTCTCTCCCTCTTTCAGTCTCGGATAAGCAAACATCTTTAATGTTTGAAAACAGTTTATTAAATTCTGTTACCCACACAGCTTAATAAACACATTGAGAGCTTTTCCCCGAGGAGCCTGGGAATTAAAGCACACCTGGCCTTTCCTCAGCCTTCTCAGCATTCTGATAGCAAGAGAGATTAACAAGTCAACATTTCTTAAGCAGCAGAATCCTGTTTGCCCTGTGTTTAATCAATGGATCCAATTCTAAATCCTCTGTTCCATCTTTTCCCCTCTGTGGTTCAGCAAATCTCCTACAATGATTTGAATTTTTACCATCCCAGTTTTGAATGTTTTTTATTTTTGCCTTTTCATTGTAGAAATGAACACTCTTACTACTACATGTTATTTCAAATGAGAAGCATATGTTATTTTTTAAGGTCTTAAGATAAACAGAGGGAACTTACTAGATCTGCTGATCAAAACTTATAGAGGGAAAATATCTTTTGACTCAAATTTGCTTTGTTTGTTCTTTGTTTTGTAGAAACACCTGGCATGGCACATTCAGCAAAAAGGGATCATCATACAGAAGGATTTTTAGAAAACTTTAAAAAAGGAAAAAAAACATTTATCAAATAATCACTAAAAAACTTAAAATGCAAAGAGGAAAAATTTCAGATGAGAAGATTTTTCATAAAATAAAATGTGTGCTGAAATAGGCACCTGAAATCACCTACAGAGGTGACTCTTGAAAGCTAAGTATTGAGTAACAGGTTAAGTTAAATATCATGAAGAAGATACTACAAAGACAGTTTGCAAATATTGAGAAGACCAAGAAAATAGCTCGCAGTCTCTATTTCTGCTATTAACATTTCATACAGCAAATTTCTATAATGCCCATCTACTCTAAAAGGAAGGAAGACAATAGAAAAAAAAGAGGAATAAATGTATGCATGGTCATACATGCATTTGTACGTGCTACATAGGTAACTGTGAATGAAGATATAGGTTAGTTTATACTGCAAGTTAAAGGTATATATGAGGCTTTTTCTACTATCTCAAATATAACTTTGGCTGCAGATTTATTGAGAGTGAGTGCTTCCATATTTTTTTCCTGTGAATTTAAGGGACATTTTTCTCTGCTTAAAATCTTGTCTTTCTGGAGCCCAATTAAGCTTTCTGTTTTCTGTTTGGTTTTGTTTGGTTGGTTGGTTGGTTTTGGTTTTTTGTTTGGTTTTTGTTGTTGTTGTTTTGGTTTTTTTTTTTTCATATTCTCTTACTCAGTACACTGCACAGCCTTGTGGAAGAAATTTCAAGATACCATGAACTACTTCTGTGTTAGCAAGACACTGGTAATACTGCATGCCATCTTGTCACATGTCTAAATAATACTGTCACTCAACTGTCTTGCTGCATAGAAAAGATAAATGACTGAGTAAAAGTCTTCTGGTAAAGTCTTACCTTGACAACATGGGAAAGGCGTTAAGCTGAAAAGAGAACATTATCACTGAAAGGGTTGGTGTTCTGGTGTCACCAGCCTCTCTGTTCTTTGTATTCGTCCTTAGACAAAAGTTCTGGTAAAGCCAAAAAGTCTTTCTAAGTTCAACATTTCCTTATGACAGAGCATTATGAAGTCTTTAGTTCTCATTTTGGTTGAAGTAAACGGAAAACACAAAGAAAATGGATGGCAGTTTATCTCCTCTGCAGATTTGTACCCAAAAAAGAATCAAATCTGACTTGGAAGCATAATGAGCCAACAGTTCTTATTGTGTAAATATTTCTAAAATCCTAAAGAAAGAGCATAGCATACAATGTTCACTGTCTTTGGAAAAAAAAGAAAAAACATTGAGAAGTTAAAAAATAAAATTCAAATTAGAATGACAGTTTTGAAAAAAATTGTGTTCACTCTTACATTTTTCTTCTACAACACAGTAGAAGATTAATTACTTCCTTCAAGCTCTTCCTCATGGAAGCAAGTCCTTGGCCTGGCTTTTACCTCTCTTCCAAACATATATTTAAGATGTACCCCTTCTTTAAATTATTTAGGTTACTTTTACTAATGTTGTTTTGAATGTTACTTCCTGATATGTCTCTGTGAGCTTGAATTTCCAAGAAAAGCTCAAGAATACAAAGGGAAAGTTTAGTTTGTATTTTATTTGGTGCAGTAGATTCAAGATTACTTCCGTAGATATTTGATAGGTTTTCCACAGCTGAAATAGTCCTATTAGCGATTTCCATATGATCTCACAGACATTGTGCAATTCCTCCAGGATGCAGATGTCCAGTTGAAAGTTGATGGCTGGAGGACGAACTTTAGGCAGACCTATACTGATTTTGTTCCTAGATGATTCTAAACAACGTGAGCCTTTTTTACACTGTTTCTGTTTCTTAGATGACTTCTTCAGTGTCTAGATGTCAAGCCCTTACCTTGGAATTTTTCAATAACCGGATAAATCATCTAGAAAATTATCAGTTAAGGAGATGTACAACACAGAGCTGTACACCTTCTCACCTTCTAGCAGCACTGAAAAGCTATAAAAGTGTTGTCTATTTACTTTTCTGTAAATCATGGTGCAGAATAAAACTGAAAAAGCAAAAATAGCTTTCTTGGAATAATTTGACAACAATCAAGATAAAACATATACCTAATGATTACATGGCTAAGTATGACCAAAACGTACATCTGCTTAGAAATGAGGTTCTTTCCAAGAGTATATCCAGTCTCAGTAAATTCTTTCCTATAGCTTTTGTTTCCTAGGTCCTGTACAAAGGAAGTAATTGGCCATCCCTGGCCCCAGAAATCCTCTCTAATTAGAGACCAAAAACAAAGGTTTGCTGTGGAGAAAAAGTACAAATAATGAAGGGATTTGTCTACGATGCCAGAGTCTATTAATATCAGACTGAGGTATAGAACACCAATACTTTATTTTAAATTTAGCAGGTGCTAGATGACAGTTTCTCTGACAGGTGTATAATATGCACATATTCATTACTAGCAGTTGAATGTCCAGACCAAAAATTATTTATGGCATAGTTTTAAAAGTCTGTAGAGATCTCCTTTTATAAAAGTACAAAAAAATAAGATGAGGTTAGATTCTCTGAAATAAAAAGTCCTTAGATCAAGAATTTTTCATGTAGATTCTTGCTACTAAACTGTAAGTTATGATTTTAATGTAGTTCTGACCCTAAGACCCAGGCTAAATTATCTAATCTTTCAAAATTTTACTGCTTTAAATAGTATGAATTTGACCATAGACAGTCAGACATAAATCTAATACCACAGAAAAAAATCTCAGGAACACAAGTTTTACGGATTTTTTCAATGTGTTTGCAAAGCAGAAGTTCTGGAATATATAAAATTGACAGAGGCAGAAGATAAAAACAAAATCCTCCCTTCCTTGCCTCCTACAAGCTGATTTCTCCCACAAAGAAATGCACCAGTCATATAAATGATTATTTGTTATGTAAAAGGAAACATATTTTTCTGCCATCCAGATAAAAACCAAGTATGTATACCAACAGAAAATATGAGTCAGATAAGAACAGGATGAGTAATTCAATCCAGCCAGGTAATTGATACTGTAACTGAGAACAAGGGAAATTGTGCTTTCAACCTCACTGATTTCAGCTGACACCACAAAAATTTCTCTAACGTTGGAGAAAATTTGCAGTGGATCTAAGTAACAATCTACTTGTGTTTGTATAGTTTTTCTCCTACAATATTTTGCTACCCATTTAAAAACATTAACATGAGCGAAAGTTTCTGAAAGGAAGATCTCTCATAGTAATTGTTTTACATTCTATCATATGGGCACTTGAAAAGAAAAGGAGAGAGCATCTCATTCCACCTATCTACTTCCCCTTAAAACCGTAAAATCCTCAGAACAGAATGTCGCTAATCAGCATATGAGAAATGGAAAAAACCCCTACAAAATCTGAAATGTTATTTCTTATTTTTGCAGAAAATAATTATAGTTGTTCTATGGCTTTGCAGAAGATGTAGTACTACAAGATAAAACTAACAATCCTAAACCTTTGTTGTTAGTACAACCTCATTAGTCCCGTTTCTGCGCCAAATAGATCAGACTTGGTTAAGTTATGAAAGAATTTGAGAGATCCAAAACTCAGTGGTGTTGAACGACCCCATGACAGAATTTATACTTAGCAAAGGTCTTCTTATGTTCTCATATCTATATTGGCCCTTCCAGACTTTCTTTTGTTCTCATAGCTCTATGGATTATGTTTTATAAATTATGACAGCCTACCAATAGAAAATCAGTCAGCCAGGAAGGGCATCACCTCTTCTGACTACAGCATTCAGATTACTTTGGCAGCTCCATTATCGTCTCAATCTAATCCCGCCTAAGAAAGAAAACTTTGGTTTTGCATTTTCCCTGTCTCTGCCTTGGCAATATTTCAAATTTATGCTTGACATGCTAATTGAAATAAGTTAGTAAGGTCTCTAGATGATCACATGGAGAATACCATCCATCAAAAATTATCATGTGCCTCACTCTATGGTTTTATGTCACTATTATTACTATTATTACTCTTAATAAGGCAACAAGAAATAAAAAGTGCCGATCTCTGTGCATTTGTGTGCGAGGACCTGGAGAGATGCTGAGGGATATCAGTCAAACCATGACTATATTCTTCAGTATAAACAGTCTGTAATCTGGGGACATAAAACAAGGGAAGGAGGAAAAACAATGAAAGGCAGATGAATCAAATGAAAGTTGAAAATGGCTCACCGTGTCAAGTTTATATTTTTTATTATTATTATTATTTCTTCCTTTTTTTTTTTTTTTTTTTTAGACAGAA